CTGATTGGAAGTGGTACAGTCAGGATTGTACCAGGGACAGAAGAGCAACAAAATAATTATTTTAACACTCTGCATTTACATGGCATTTTTCCCCCAAAGGTCTCATAACTGTTTTCCGAATACCTCTTTTGAATTCAAAAGCATTTACTAAAGAAGATAGAGCAAAATGTAATAATATTAAATTTTGACTCTGGAATCCAATTTAATTCATACAAAGTAGACTTACTGGAAATTGAATTATCAACCTGCACATGAACGTATTTTGACACAGGATGTCCCAGGGTATGGGCCTTCGAGGAAAGCATGACACACAGGCACTGACACATTTCCACGTGATGGATAGGAAAACAGGATAATGTCTTGTGACCAACCGAGATGAAGGAGATCAACAGAGAAGGCCGCCTGAGGAGCGGCATCTGTGCTGCTTCCTTGGGCGAGAAGAGAATGACTCGGGAATTAAGGAAGTAGGGTCAGTGTTGACACTCCTCTCCCTGTGCCATGTGCTGCTGGGGGTGTGGTTCGTGGTGTAGCTCTTGCTGTGGGGGCCCTGAGAGGCTCCTGACAACCACATGTAGCAAAACAATGCCCACTATTATTATAACCACGCTTCTTGGTGACCCAGGGAGCCTCAGAGCTCCCAGCGCTGCCGCTGTGTTGGTGCCTCTTTGCTGCCCACATCAGCAGCTCGGGACAGGACTAAGAGGCTGTGAAAGTCCCTGTGGTAGTGCTCCAGGGTGCTGCGGTGTCTACCACCCCTTGGTACCCTGTCCAAGGCAGGGTCTGATTCCGTACACCGGAGGGCCCAGGTTCTGCATTCCTCCCGCACTTTCAGGGGCACCAAAGCTGCTGACCCAAGGACCACGCTTTGAGTAACAAGTCTCAGAGGCAGTTACCGTGGAGATGAGTGGCCGCAGCTGCCCAGGATGCTCTCTCCGGGACCGATCGTGCGCTCTTCCAATGGGTCAGATTTTGCTCTCCACACCAACTTCTAGAAAACACAGATGAAAATAAAATCTGTGAAATGAAGAAATTACCCATTTTTTTCCTCAGCCCCTCAGCAATATCATGAGAAAAAAACTTAGTGGTTTTTTTTTTAAAGTTGTTCTTGTCAAATGTGAGGTATAGACTCACTGCTCTGCCTCAGCCCTAAGCTCAGCTGTCCTTTCTAATGGGCTGGTGGCAAAGCTGTGGCTTATGATCCAGGCTCATAAATGTCAGGATGCTTTCCTGGGGCAGATGTGGTTTCTCACCGGTGTTGTATCTCACAGCCTGTGTGGGGCTGAAAGGCCAGGGCATTGATTTAGCTATAGTCAAGCACCACCCAAATCCTGCAGGTTGGAGCTAAGTCCCGCTTTTACGGCTCTTGAACTGCCAAGGGAGGGCACAGATGGGGCTGCTCTGGGCTGCTTCTCCTAAATTTATCTCGGGCCTCATTACCCACAGGTCTCTGAGTGAGCAGGGCTGATGAGCAGTGCAAGTTCCCTGCATAGAAATAGCCCCGGAATAGTTCCAGTGTTGTTTCTAATTGCCGTGGATGAGCAGACTGTCTCATTAATCCTCGCCTATCAGCGTGCAAACTGGTGGCCCCAGAATAGCCCTGAGCTCAGCCAGCCCACAGCCAGCTTTGGGGCTGATAGTTTG